TTCGGCATCTTGTGCTTACTTCCTTGCGTACGGATGACAGCTGCGTATGATTTTATTAATTTTTTGGTGCTTTCACTTCGAGAGGGGTGTGTGTGTGCTCATGGTCGTGCATGCCGTACTCGTTAGACCATTGGCCTCGCATCCCTACAAAGCCGGGACGGAGCACGCCGGGTTCTCACCGGACCAGGCTCTCACATCACCAAGCGCGAAGCGCCGTGAGATATTCGGCGAGTCGCATGAAGGGTGCGCTGCATCCTGCTAAGGGTGTTCGGCATCTTGTGCTTACTTCCTTGCGTACGGATGACAGCTGCGTATGAATTAATTTATTTTCTGGTGCTTTCACTTCCAGAGACAGTTGTAAGCACTGTGTAACTGCCTCGAGGGTGCTTGACCATTTTAACACAACGTGGTGCGATCATCCCCCTTGCGCGGAGTGAGGGTTCACCCCGCACAACATGATCTACTCAACCATCATTATGGTTACCGCCCAAAAAAAATAAACGGAGGAAAAAAAAAAAAACGGTAACCTGGTTGCCGAGTTCACGAAGTGAATTGGCTTGTTTGACAGAATCAGAGGAAAAAAAAATAGGTAACCTGGTTGCCGAGTCCACGAAGTGGATTGGCTTGTTTTACAACGTCGTTGCCAAGCGACGAAAACCCAACCCCGATGGCAAACACCGGGGAGAGGGATGGACGGCTTGATTTACAACGTCGTTGCTAAGCGACGAAACCCCAACCCCGATGGTAAACACCGGGGGGGACGGGGGTGTTGTTTCCACAGGACCGACCACCACTCGTTCCTCCTCAGTTTGCTATAGGTGGCTTCAAGAGTGTTTCCCTCGCCAATATGAGGGGGGGGGGGTGTACTCATAGTCGTGCATGCCGTAGTGGTTAGACCATTGACCTCGCATCCCTACAAAGCCGGGACGGAGCACGCCGGGTTCTCACCGGACCAGGCTCTCACATCACCAAGCGCGAAGCGCCGTGAGATATTCGGCGAGTCGCATGAAGGGTGCGCTGCATCCTGCTAAGGGTTTTCGGCATCTTGTGCTTACTTGCTTGCGTATGGATGACAGCTGCGTATGACTTAATTTATTTTCTGGTACTTTCACTTCC